TTTTTTTTTTTTTTTTTTCCAGTTGGAGTTTTTCTTTTGTTGCCCAGGCTGGAGTGCAGTGGCGTGATCTTGGCTTACTGCAACCTCTGCCTCCCAGGTTCAAGTGATTCTCCTCCCTCAGCCTCCTGAGTAGCTGGGATTACAGGCATGAGCCGCTGCGCCCGGCCATGTTTACAATTTTTGAAGCCTACTTGTGGGTGGCAGAAATCTGCGAGGGGAGGCCTGGGATTACAGGCGTGCGCCACCATCCCCGGGTAACTTTTTTTGTATTTTTAGTAGAGATGGGGTTTCACCATGTTGGCTAGAATGGTCTCAAACTCCTGACCTCAAATGATCCGCCTGCCTCAGCCTCCCAAAGTGTTGGGATTACAGGCCTGAGCCACTGCAACCAGCCAGGAAAGCCTTTAAGAGCAGGTGACATCTAAGAGCGGGAATTAGAATGACAAGAAGGACGCAGTGATCTATATGATGGGGGAAGGGGCATCTGGTAGCGGGAACAGCGAGTGCAAAGGCCCTGAGGTAGGACAGAGCCTCATCTTTTGATGGTAGAGAGGAGGCCAGTGCTGTTGGAACAGAGTGAACAGGGGAGAGGGTGGGAAAGGAGGGCACAGTTGGGCAGGGCCAGAATGTAGAGTCTTTTGGGCTGATGGAAAGACTTCTTTTTTTTGTAGAGATGGGGTTTCACTATATTGGCCAGGCTGGTCTTGAACTCCTGACGTCAGGTGATCCACCTGCCTCAGCCTCCCAAACTGCTGGGATTGCAGGCGTGAACCACTGCGCCCAGCCTTTTTTTTGAGACATCGTTTTGCTCTTGTTGCCCAGGCTGGAGTGCAATGGCAGTGGCATGACCTCAGCTCACCGTAGCCTCCATCTCCTGGGTTCGAGCGATTCTCCTGCCTCAGCCTCCCTAGTAGCTGGGATTACAGGCATGCGCCACCACACCCGGCTAATTTTGTATTTTTAGTAGAGACGGGGTTTCTCCATGTTGCTCAGGCTGGTCTCAAACTCCCAACTTCAGATAATCCCTCCACCTCAGCCTCCCAAAGTGCAGGGATTACAGTATGAACCATCACGCCTGGCTGCTTTTTTTTTTTTGAGACAGTCTCGCTTTCTTGCCTAGGCTGGAGTGCAGTGCTGCCATCTCAACTGATTGCAGCCTCTGCCTCCCAGGTTCATGCTTCAGCCTCTCAAGTAGCTGGAGTTACAGGCGTACACCACCATGCCCGGCTAGTTTTTATATTTTTAGTAGGGATGGGGTTTCACCATGTTGGCCAGGCTGGTCTCAAACTCCTGGCCTCAAGTGATCTGCCCACCTCGGCCTTCCAAAGTGCTGGGATTACAGGCGTGAGCCACCGCGCCTGACCTGGAAAGACTTTAGCTTTACTCTGAGTGTGATGGGAGTGACTGGCTGGTTTTAGATAAGGAAGTGATGTGACCTGATTTAGACTATTCTAGCAAGTATAGATGCTCCTCAATTTGCAATGGTGCTGCATCCTAGTAAACCTATCATAAATTGAAAATAATAAGAGCTGGGTGTGGTGGCTCACCCCTGTAATCCCAGCACTTTGGGAGGCTGAGGCGGGTGGATCACCTGAGGTCAGGAGTTCGAGACCATCCTGGCCAACATGGTGAAACCTCGTCTCTACTAAAATACAAAAAATTAGCAGGACATCGTGGCATGCACCTGTAGGTTGAGCTACTCAGAAGGCTGAGGCAGGAGAATTGCTTGAACCTGAGAGCCAGAGGTCGCAGTGAGCCGAGATCGAGCCACTGCACTCTAGCCTGGGCGACAGAGCGAAACTCCCTCAAAGAAAAAGAAAAGAAAATTACATAAGCTGAAAATGTGTTCAGTGCCCTGATAAACCCATAGTAAAGTCCAAATTGTAAGTCAAACCATCATAAGCTGGGGACTGTCTGTATAGCAAAATGTTTGTTTTTTTTTTTTTTTTTTTTTTTGAGACTGAGTTTTGCTCTTGTTACCCAGGTTGGAGTGCAATGGCGCGATCTCGGCTCACCGCAACCTCTGCCTCCTGGGTTCAGGCAGTTCTCCTGCCTCAGCCTCCTGAGTAGCTGGGATTACAGGCACGCACCACCATGCCCAGATAATGTTTTGTATTTGTAGTAGAGAAGGGGTTTCACCATGTTGACCAGGATGGTCTCGATCTCTTGACCTTGTGATCCACCCGCCTCGGCCTCCCAAAGTGCTGGGATTATAGGTGTGAGCCACCGCGCCCAACACAAAATGTTAATTGTAGAATCTACGTGGCGGCTATATGGTTTATAACTGTGAAACTCTTTTAACTTTTCTTCATGAAGATTCTCATAAGAAAATACAGCAGGGGTGGTGGTGAAATGGTCCTGGCTGTTGTTGGCCAAAAAGAGATCATAGGGCACAAGGGCAGAAGCAAGGAGGCTGGGGAGGTGGCACCTGTCATAGTCCTGCTAAAAGGTGACAGGTCCGGCTGGGCGCAGTGGCCCACGCCTGTAATCCCAGCACTTTGGGAGGCCAAGGCAGGCAGATCACCTGATTTTGGGAGTTCGAGACCAGCCTGACCAACATGGAGAAACCTGTTTCTACCAAAAATACAAAATTAGCCAGGTGTAATGGTGCGTGCCTATAATCCCAGCTACTCAGGAGGCTGAGGCAGGAGAATCCCTTGAACCCAGGAAGCGGAGGTTGCAATGAGCTGAGATCGTGCCATTGCACTCCAGCCTGAGCAACGAACTAAACTCTATCTCAAAAAAAATAAATAAAAGAGAGAGAGATAACAGGCCCAGGCTCAGGTAGCAGCAGGGGTAGGGGGAGTTTGTTTTTTTTTTTTTTAAGAGATGGGGTTGCTGGGCACAGTGGCTCACTCCAGTAATCCCAACACTTTGGGAGGCTGAGGCGGGTGGATCATGAGATCATGGGTTGGAGACCATCCTGACCAACATGATGAAACTCTGTCTCTACTTAAAAATACAAAAATAATTAGCTGGGCGTGGTGGTGCGCACCTGTAATCCCAGCTACTCGGGAGGCTTAGGCAGGAGAATTGCTTGAACCTGGGAGGTGGAGGTTGCAGTGAGCCGAGATCGCGCCATTGCACTCCAGCCTCGGCTGGAGGTGGTGTCTTGCTGTATTGCCCAGGCTGGAATACAGTTGTGATCAGAGCTAACTGCAGCCTTGAACTGCTGGGCTCAAGCAGTTCTTCCACCTCAGTCTCCAGAGTACCTGGGACTGCAGGAATGTGCCACCACGCCCCACTGACTGTTTCATTAGCCTTTTTTATAAAGATGGGGTCTCGCTGTGTTGCCCAGGCTGGTCTCCAACAGGAAGGGATATTTCCTTTTTCTTTTTTGAGACACAGTCTTGCTCTGTTGCCAAGGCTGGAGTGCAATGGCATGATCTCAGCTCACTGCAACCTTCACCCACCTCCCCTACCCCCCTCTGCTGGGTTCAAGGGATTCTCCTGCCTCAGTCTCCCAAGTAGCTGGGACTACAGGCGCCTGCCATCACTCCTGGCTAATTTTTGTATTTTTAGTAGAGATGCGGTTTTACCACATTGGCCAGGCTGATCTTGAACTCCTGGCCTTGTGATCTGTCCACCTTGGCCTCCCAAAGTGCTGGGATTACAGGTGTGAGCCACTGCACCCAGCCCAGGAAGGGATATTTTTGGAAGATTTTTTTTTTTTTGAGACAGAGTTTCACTCTTTTTTTTTTTTTTAAAGACAGGGTTTCACCATGTTGGTCAGGCTGGTCTTGAACTCCCAACCTCAGGTGATCCACCCGCCTTGGCCTCCAAAGTGCTTAGATTAACAGCATGAGCTACCATGCCCGGCCTGAGTTTCACTCTTGTTGCCCAGGCTGGAGTGCAATGGCACCATCTTTGCTCACCGCAACCTCTGCCTCCTAGGTTCAAGCAAATTCTCCTGCCTCAGCCTCCCGAGTAGCTGAGATTACAGGCATGCCCCACCATGCCCGGCTAATTGTGCATTTTTTTTTTTTTTTAGTAGAGACGGGGTTTTTCCATGTTGGTCAGGCTGGCCTGGAACTGCCGACCCCAGGTGATCTCTCCACCTTGGCCTCCCAAAGTGCTGGGGTTATAGGCATTAGCCACCAATGCCTACCAGAATTTTTTTTTTTTTTTTTTTTTTTTTGAGACAGGGTCTTGCTGTGTCACCGAGGATGGAGTGCAGTGGCATGATCTCGGCTCACTGCAGTCTCCATCTTCTGGGTTCAAGCAATTCTCCTTCCTCAGCCTCCCGAGTAGCTGGGATTACAGGTACCTGCCACCACACCCAGCTAATGGGAGGGATATATCTTGATGTGTTTTCAAGATTGAGCTGATGGGGCTTGAACATGGGAGGTGAGGGGAATAGCAGTGCAGATGAGGGCGGGGCCCCCTACAGAGCTGGGTGTGTGACAGAGCTTCTGTGTGACAGAAGTGGCCAGTTAAAGGCTGCAGGAGAAGTCTCAGGAGTTGGGAGAGCAGGGCAGGTCAGGAGTCCATAGGCACGGGTTGGTCCTCTCTGGGGAAGTGGCATTTGCCCGGAGCTCTGAAAGTTTGCTTGGTCAAAGCCTGTTTAGCCAGAAACTTGAGCGATTCCAGAGGCAGTGGAGGCTCCAGGGAGGGGAGAAGGCACTCATCAGGTCACAGTCACAGTGAGGTTAGGAGTCACCAGGTCAGCAGGGTAGGAAGGCAGGAAGAATTTGATGGGAATGGAAAAAAAAATTTTTTTAATGGGGCCGGGTACGGTGATTCACAACTGTAATCAGCATTTTGGGAGGCCAAGGCAGGTGGATCATAAGGTCAGGAGTCAGACCAGCCTGACCAACATGGTGAAACCCTGTCTTTTTTTTTTTTCCTCGAGACGGGGTCTCGCCATGTTGCCCAGGCCGGAGTGCAGTGGCCATTCACAGGCGGGATCCCACTGCTGATCAGCATGGGAGTGTTGACCTGCTCCATTTCCAACCTGGGCTGGTTCACCGTCCTTAGGCAACCTGGCATAGGGCACAGCAGCCCAGAACTCCTGGACTCAAGTGATCCTCCAGCCTCAGCCTCCCGAGTAGCTGGGACTATAGGCACTGGCCACTGCGCCCGGCAGTAAAACCCTGTCTCTGCTAAAAATATAAAACAATTAGCCTGATGTGATGGCGGGTGCCTGTAATCCCAGCTACTTGGGAGGCTGAGGCAGTAGAGTTGCCGGAATCTGGGAGGCGGAGCTTGCAGTGAACTGAGATTGCGCCACCGCACTCCATCCTGGGTGACCGGGTGAGACCGTCTCTAAAAAAAAAAAAAAAAAAAATGGCCGGGCGCGGTGGCTCAAGCCTGTAATCCCAGCACTTTGGGAGGCCGAGGCGGGTGGATCACGAGGTCAAGAGATCGAGACCATCCTGGTCAACATGGTGAAACCCCGCCTCTACTAAAACTACAAAAAATTAGCTGGACATGGTGGTGCGTGCCTGTAATCCCAGCTACTCAGGAGGCTGAGGCAGGAGAATTGCCTGAACCCAGGAGGCGGAGGTTGCGGTGAGCCGAGATCGCGCCATTGCACTCCAGCCTGGGCAACAAGAGTGAAACTCCGTCTCAAAAAAAAAAAAAAAATGGAAGAAGCTCAGTGAGGCACAAAAAAGGAAGTGCAAAGGTGGAACGAGGTCAGGCCGGAGCCTGTGCACAGGCCTTGTGGGCTGCGCTGTGCCTGCAGGTCTTCATCCTGAGGGTACTGAGGAACCACAGGAGGCTTGGGGTGGGGCAGTTGACAGTAACATGATCTTGTTTACAATTTTTTTTTTTTTTTTTTGAGACAGAGTCTTGCTCTGTTGCCCAGACTAGAGTGCAACAGCACAATTTGGGCTCACTGCAACCTCTGCCTCCCAGGTTCAAGCAGTTCTGCCTCAGCATTCCGAGTAGCTGGGATTACAGGTGCTTGCCACCATGCCCAGCTAATTTTTGTATTTTTAGTTTAGCCAGAAAGGAGCGATTTCACTGTGTTGGGGTTTCACCATGTTGGCCAGGCTGATCTCGCACTTGTGACCTCAGGTGATCTGCCCGCCTCGGCCTCCCAAAGTGCTGGGATTACAGGCATGAGCCGCTGCACCCTGCCATGTTTACAGTTTTTGAAGCTGACTTCAGTTGTGGGTGGCAGAAATCTGCGAGGGGAGGCAAAGAATGGAGAAAGGAGGCTTGGGGACACTATCTCCAGGCAGTGGGGACAAGTCCCTAATACCTACTCTACTCCCCACAGGCCCTGTGTGCCAAGGTGCCCGAGCTGATCAGAACCATCATGGGCTGGACTTTGGACTTCCTCCGGGAGCGGCTGTTGGGCTGGATCCAAGACCAGGGTGGTTGGGTGAGATCCTCAACCCTTCCTGCCCCACCCCCTCCGCCCCGACTCCTCTGGGACCCTGGAGCAGGTCACAGTGGTGCCCCTGCCCATCTTCAGATCATCAGATGTGGTCTATCATGTGTTTCCTTACGTGTCTGATCAACCCCTGATTCCTCTACCCTGCTGACCTAGTGACCCCTGACCTCACTGTGACCTTGACTTGATGAGTGCCTTCTCCCCTGCCTGGAGCCTCCACTGCGTCTGGAATCGCTCAAGTTCATTGATGACCCTCTGATGCCAACTCTTTGCTTTTGTTTTTTGACTGAGAAGGGGTCTGGCTGTGTTGCCCAGGTTGGTCTCAAACTCCTGGCCTCAAGCAATCCTCCCGACTCAGCCTCTCAAAGTGCGGGGATTACAGGTGTGAGCCACTGTGCCTGGCCTGAGCCCACCTCTTTAATGCCCATTCATCTTAGTCCCCTGACCCCAGTCCCGCCTTCTGACCTCCTCCTCCCTCCCTCATCCTCCTGTGCTTGCCCAGGGGCTGCCCCTGGCCGAGTCACTGAAGCGGCTGATGTCCTTCTCTTCAGGATAGCCTCCTCTCCTACTTTGGGACACCCACGTGGCAGACAGTGACCATCTTTGTGGCTGGAGTGCTCACCGCCTCACTTACCATCTGGAAGAACATGGGCTGAGGCCCCCAGCTGCCTTGGACTGTTTTTCCTCCATAAATTATGGCATTTTTCGGGGAGGGGTGGGGATTGGGAGACGTGGGCATTTTTCTTACTTTTGTAATTATTGGGGAGGGTGGGGAGGAGTGGTCTGGAGGGGGTAATAAACCTCCTTCGGGACACACTTCAGCATCTGAGTCACTGGGGCTCTGCCCCGCTCCCCGGTGCATCAGGAGAACAGGCCTTGCGGGGGCCCCACCCGCCGCCCCACACCAGGCCCATCGTCTGCTCGCCTAGAGATGCCCGTTCCAGCCGCCCGGGCGTGGGGCTCTCTCCATTCCCTTGTCATCTTTTTCTGGGGTGCCCTGAGGTCTGTGGGTCAGGGATGAGTTGGTTCTGGCCCTGCCCTGTAGGGGCCCACGATCCTGAGGGGAAAGGAGGGTGACTGGTGACACATCTGTCGCAGCCTGGGATGATCTGTGCACAGATGGAGGTGGGCCCAAGCAGGCTGGTAGGTGGGGGGAAGAACAGCACAGCCACCCGGGGACCAGAGCCTGGAGTGCCACACAGGGGACCTCAGAGCCTGCACCTTTACTGAGCTGGAGAACAGGGGTGGGGGAGGAGGGATGGGTGGACTACAGGAACAGGGAGGGCTCTGGAGCCCGGTGGTGACTTCGCCGGTTGGGGACACCAGGAGGAGAGGGCCCATTGGAGAGGCCCCCCTGAGCTGGGCTGAGGACGGAGAGGGAGGGACCTGGCTGGAAACCGAAAAGGCTGGAGGGCGGGGCCGAGGAGAAGGTACCTGGTCTGGCCCCACAGCTGGGTGGGGCCCCCTGGAGAAGAACAGCTGGAAGAAGGTGCTGCACTCTTAGCGTCCCAGTGAGCTTAGACACAGGTGGAGGGAGGACGAGAGGGTTAGAGGATGTGGGGTCTAGAGCCACGGGTCTCTGTCGTCCCCCTCTGGGTCTTTACCCCCTCCCATCCCTGGGTCTCTGTCCCCACTTCTCTCTCTCGGTCTTTGCTTTCTGGGTCTCTGTTCCCACCCCACCTTTGGCCCCCTCTCTCTGGATCCCTCTTACCCCCCCATATCTGTCCCCCTCTCTCTGGGTCTCTGTCCCTTTCTTCTCTGAGTGTGTGTCCCCCTCTCCTGGGTCTCTGTACCTCCCTCCCTCTGGGTCTCTGTCCCCCTCTCTCTCTGGGTCACTGTCCCCACCAGTGTCTGTCCCCCCCATCTCTGTCCCCTCTCTGGGTCTCTTTCCCCTTCCTTCTCTGAGTCTCTGTCCCCCTCACCTGGGTCTCTGTACCTCCCCCTCTCTCTCTGGGTCACTGTCCCCGTCCCAGTCTCTGTCCTCCTCTCGGAGTCTCTGTCCCCTTCCTTCTCTGGGTCTCTCTCTCCCTTCCTTCTCTGAGTCTCTGTCCTCCTCTCCTGGGTCTCTGTACCTCCCCTCTCTCTCTCTGGGTCTCTGTCCCCCTCTCTCTCTGGGTCACTGTCCCCCCCCCGGTCTCTGTCCTCCTCTCGGAGTCTCTGTCCCCTTCCTTCTCTGGGTCTCTCTCCCTTCCTTCTCTGAGTCTCTGTCCTCCTCTCCTGGGTCTCTGTACCTCCCCTCTCTCTGGGTCACTGTCCTCAACCCCATCTCTGTCCCCACCCCTGTCTGTCCCCCTCTCTCTCGGCATCTGTCCCCATCTCTCTGGGTCTCTGTCCCCCCCCCGGGTCGCTGCCCCCCCCCAGTCTCTCTCCCCTCTCTCTCTGGATCTGTCTGTCCCTCCCTGGGTCTGTCCCCCTCTCTGTCTCTGTTCCCCTCCCCCATTCTCTGTCATCCCCCTCTAGGTCTCTGTCCCCCTCTCTCTGAGTCTCTTTCTCTGGGCCTCTGTCTCCCACCCCACAGTCTCCATGGCCTTCAGACCCTGCCTCTCTCAGCCCCTCCTCTCCTTCCACCTATGGGCGCCAAGGCCCCTCTCTGCAGACTGAAGGTCTCTGGGCTGAGGTATGATATTTGGTGAATGAGTAACTCGGGCTCCACAGTCAACACCGGTGCTTTGGGCAGCTGCCCCTCCTCCATGGACTCTCCCCAGTGACCCCAAGTTGGGAAAAGGAGGAGCAGAGGGTCAATGAGTGGACACTGAGCCACCTCCCAGAGTGAGGAGACAATATGGCCACAGGCTGAATCCCAGGGAAAAAAACAGGACAGGAACCAAAAAGACACAGAGACAAAGCACGCAGCTGGCTTCCTTGGGGGAGGGGGCCCGACTTGGATCTGAGCCAGGCCTAGTCCTGAGGGTCCCACCAAAAAAGTTGGGTAGTGCCAAGGGGATGAGGTCAGCCAGTGGCCCCACCCCCATGCGTCCCCCTCGGAGCCCCTTCCCGCGCTGAGCTCACCATGACTCAGCAGTCCAGCAGCCGCTGCCTGCAACAAGGACCCCAGATAGTGGCCTGGCCGGGCATCTGCAGATCCCCTTGGTCGGGGGCTGTCCCGCTGGGGCTGCTTGGAGCGGCTCTCGGAAGGGCAGGACCTGACCTCACACCCGACACCCCAGTGGCTTCAGCTCCCTACCCAGTGCACCGGCTTCCCCCATCAGGGCGCTTAAGTAGGGTCAAGGTTTGCACCAACTGTCTCCCAGAAATCAACATGGACCAGGCCCACTTAAAAAATCCGCAGCAGCCGACGACAGATGTCTCGTGCATCGGTCCACAACTCAGGGCTTCTCTTGGTGGGCCTGAAGGAGCACATGTCAGCCAAGACACTGGGGCAACTTTAGAGACCGTTTTAGGGCCAAGAAGAATTCTCACAGTCTGTGGGTTGCCTTCAAAATAGCCCCCAGGAAATGCAGTCCCAGAGACACTGCAAAGCTCGAAAGAGACATTGCATTCCTCCCCGTGTCCACTCCCAGAAAAGCACTGGGCCCCTGAAAGAGCTCCAAGGTATCCCCAAAAGCCCAGCCAATCTTGGGAGGGTCCAGAGGGCTGTCCAGCGTTCCAGAAGTCACCCCCCCTGGTACAATGCTCCTCCCGGGCTTCCTGCACTGGGTGAACCCCACGGCTCCAGAACAACTGCCCTTTCCAGGCTGCAGAGCAACTCAAGGTCCTAAAGATCTCTTCTGGGAGGGATCCAAAAAAATACAGACTTTGCATCGTGAACCCTCAGCTCTGTAAACCCCAGAGCTCCAGTCCCCCCAACCCTCCGTCTCCCAGAAATCCCCAGGGGTTCGCCTACAGCCTTTCAAACTTCCCAAGGATCCCGAGACCCCCTTATCTCGCAGCGCAAACCTAGGGCAACTAGAGGCCCTCTCTGCACCTCTGGGGTGCCCCTCCCCCCGACTCAAGGTTCCAGAAAAAATCCATGCCCTCGGAAACCCCAGAATCTGACTGACTTTCCCGAGACACCCCCAGGACCCCAGGCTTATCAGTTCACAGGGCTCTTAATGCTCCCATAAAACTCTCGCTCCCAGAGGGACCCCCTCCCCGGCCCATGAAACCCTCCACTTCCCTGAAACAGGGCCCCCAACCCCCATCCCCCATTTCACAACAGCCTCAGGTTACAGGCGCGTGACTTCCCCTTGCTTCGGGTAGGGGAGCTGAGACTCCTTTCTGCTCCGGATTGGTCAGGCACGGCCTTCGGTCCCGCCTTCTGACACCGCAGATTGGCCGATCGCCCGCCCCGAGCGCCCCGCCTCCGAGGGCCCGCGCACTATAAAGGGAGCCGCCCTCGCCACGTCCCATAGCAGTTCGGCGGTCCCGCGGATCTGTGTCTTGCTTCAACAGTGTTTGGACGGAACAGATCCCGGGGACTCTTTCTTCTAGCCTCCGGCTGCCCTCCAATTTCCCCTCCAGTTGCAACATCCGGGACCATCTTCTCGGTTATCTCCTGCTTCTGGGAACCTGCTAACACCGTTTCTGTGGTTAGCTCCTTTTTGCCGACCAACCATGAGCTCCCAGATTCGTCAGAATTATTCCACCGACGTGGAGGCAGCCGTCAACCACCTGGTCAATGTGTACCTGCAGGCCTCCTACACCTACCTCTCTCTGGTGAGTCCCCGGGACGCCCCTGGCCCTAATTTCCTCCAACTGCTCACCTCCGGCCCTCGGCGCACGCGCCTGCTCTCTTTGTTCGATCGGGTAAACAGAGGGCGGAGTTCCCCCGGCCTCGCCTCCCGCTAACCACTGTTCCCTCCATCTCTTCCCGCAGGGCTACTATTTCGACCGCGATGATGTAGCTCTGGAAGGCGTGAGCCACTTCTTCCGCGAAATGGCCGAGGAGAAGCGCGAGGGCTATGAGCGTCTCCTGAAGATGCAAAACCAGCGTGGCGGCCGCGCTCTCTTTCAGGACATTAAGGTAACTAGCTTGAGGGTAATGGACTACATCTCCCCGCAGGCCGTGCGCGCGAGGCGCCTTGGCTTGTGGGCTTAGGTGTCGCGTGGGCTTCTGGGAGATTGAGTTCGGTTTTGTAAGAGTTCTTACAGCTGGAAATGGTGTCTCACGTCGTGCAGTGCCCCCAAGACGCGGCAGTCCACACCACTGCGTGGTCTTCTATAGGTGTAGTTGTAAAAGATAGGACGGAGTGCAGAGTGATAAATACAAGGGTCACATGTCCTTGTGATCCCCAACGACTCTTGGGAAATGTCGCTTTGGTTCTTTGTGCCGGGTGTGTGTATTCTGAGCCCTTTCTCTCCTGTATAGAAGCCGGCTCAAGATGAGTGGGGTAAAACCCTGGACGCCATGGAAGCTGCCATGGCCCTGGAGAAAAATGTGAACCAGGCTCTTTTGGATCTTCATGCCCTGGGTTCTGCCCGCACGGACCCCCATGTAAGTACACCTTGCATCCATGGCTACCCAACCATACCCTCAAGCCTTGCCTCCCTTTGGGCAGATTTCCTTCAGAGCCACATTTCACACCTGCCACATTTCAATCTGCAACTGGGAGCTCTCCCTCTTTTCCAGGGATTGGGTTTCTAATTTCTTCCTCTTCTCTCTCAGCTCTGTGACTTCCTGGAGAGTCACTTCCTAGATGAGGAAGTGAAAATCATCAAGAAGATGGGGGACCACTTGACCAACCTCCGCAGGCTGGCCGGCCCACAGGCTGGGCTGGGCGAGTATCTCTTTGAAAGGCTCACTCTCAAGCACGACTAAGAGCCTACTGAGCCCAGTCACTTATGAAGGGCCTTTGCAAAATAACAGGGCTTCTGCCT